CAGGGAGAGACAAGGCTGCTGCTATTAGAACTCATCCTGAAGCCGCACCTTCGAACCAGCTCCTAACAGCTGTCCCTCAGGATGGGGAGGCAGGTGTTTGCTTTGTCACTGTTGGAGATTGGATACGCATGTGTTATGTCTGCTGGTGCGTGCATATGAGTGTGAATGCACGGGTGGGCATTTAATCTCTATTCTTCTCCTTTGTCCTAGGAATTTTCTCCCCCATGGAGCTGGGATTACTTAACATTCAATAAGCACTGCCTGACACCCCCCACCCCCGTAAAGAAAATGGGAAAACTGAAGGACAAGGAGATTTACTAACTTGGACAAGGTTATAAGCTAACAGATGACAGAGCTAGGATTCTGAGGGCATCTGGTCCATCCCAGCTCCGAGTCTCTGTTCGTCCACTTTACTAGACCATGTTAACTCCCAAGTATGCAGCCCTTACCCCGCAAACAGCAGATCCCCCCAACTAGGGCACAACCCCAGTTTCTTCAAGTGGCAAGCTCCTGCCGGCCAGAACCCCAAACCTTCTTAGCTTAAATACCTTCTGGGCTGACGGTTGGTGCCATCTTACAAATAGAAGGAATTACTGCCACCTGCCAACATAGAAGAAAGCAACGCCCTAACACAAGACAGCCTACAGTTAAGATGTTCTGTAGGGAAACTTTCCATTCATAATTCTCTTCCAGTAGTTTTTTCAAACCAAACAACATTTTATTGGGACTTGTTTCTCTACGTTTTTCTCATAAGAAAAACAACTCCCTGGCTAGACCCAACTTACCATCATGCCTACTCTTGTTATAGTAGCTTCTAATTGTCCAACAGTACAAAAGGTCCCGGAACCATTTGATCCTTTCCTCAAACTGCTAAGCACAGGACAAAACATTAATGCCAACCCCACCGGGAAGCTGGGAAGCTTCCTCGATTCTTCCTCTCCCTCAGGTACCACACCAGTTAATGACTGCTTCTTGTTGACCCTGCCTCCCAGAACATCTCAGCCATTCGTCGGTGATCCTGTGCTGGCTCCATGGCTTTCCATGAGCTTGCCTGGCAACCCCTCCTCTCCTCAGGCCTCACCTTCCCTGACTCCCCCAGACCACGTTTCCTGTCTTCTGACCCCCTCAACCCCTCCCCACACATGTGCCAGTGCTGCCCAGGCCCACTCACTGGGATTGCCCTATCCCTTCTCTACCTCCCATCACAGACTGTGGGCTCCTGGAGGCCAGGGCTGCCCTGTAATCTCTTCAGCATTCAATCCCGAATGGCCTTCAGTGAATGCACACACCACAGGGAGGAGGAGGCCAAATGGCAATCTCAAGAGTATTCCCCTCATGAAAGAGGAGCCAAAAGGTCCTGTGCTGACCCCTGGGAAAGGGCATAGTCTTCAGAAGTGTAGCCCTTGAAACACTGCCCAAACTTTGCTTTGGAGCTTGAAAGTCACATTTCTGAATAATCGATTCTTTGAGTCCAAAGGGAACAACTGGGCACTCCTCATATGAAGAAACAGATTTTCCTCCGAGCGAGGCATTTGGGACCAAGGTCTCCATCAAAGGAAAGGAGTCCAGCTTATGAATGTATGTGTTCATCATCCCTGACATCTGGGGCCCCAAGGAAAGCTAACTCTCTTTTCCCTTTACCAGAATAAACACAAAATAGGGTGTGACCCACCCTCCACTGCTTTTGGGAAACGACTTCTTGGAACTTTTTTCTTTCTGAGCATCCCACCTGCTATAAGATTTCGGCAGCACATGGATATTTAACCAGGTCACTTAACTTCCACCCCACCCTCTCAGCTCCATGCCTCTTGAAGATACTAAACAGAGTAATAATATTTTCAGACATGGGAATAAACTGTCTGAATTCCTTTTTTGAACTTCAAAATTTAAACATCATCAAAAGGGGACTGTTGTTTTCAGTAGCAAAAAGGCTACATGTTATTCTAATGAACTCTCTGATAAGAAATCCAATCCACACTAGACCTACTTTTCACAATTATTTCCCTGACAATGTTTTTGCGTGTTAAGACTAAAAGCAATTCAGAAAATAAAGCCAGTAAGAAATCCACACCCCCCCCCCTTCATATTTGCTAAAAACAAAGAAAAAAGCAGAGCCAGGCATCAGGGAAGTTTCAGCGAGTCAAGACCTCCCATAAATGCTAAAACTTAGCTCTTGCTGCCATAACAAATGTATTAAAACTCCTCGTGTATACAGAAAACTTTTTAAAAGTGTTTTTCATGTTTATTTATTTTTGAGAGACAGAGAGAGAGCGTATGAGCGAGCAAGCAAGCAGGGGAGGGGCAGAGACAGAAGGAGACACAGAATCCAAAGCAGGCTCCAGGCTCTGAGCTGTTGGCACAGAGCCTGATGCAGGGATCGAACTCACAGACAACAAGATCCTGACCTGAGATGAAGTTGGACGCTTAACCGTCTAAGCCACTCAGGCACCCCCAGAAAGTTTTAGGAGCCCACCTCCAAAGAGCAGAGGCAGATGACACGGCTTTGTCATCAGTAGTCAGATGGTTCAACCACAACTGATACCAACTCTACCCCCATGAGGTAACAAAAAACTCACATCAAAGAAACAGGTGGCCCAACCTTCCATGTGGCCTGTGAACTGACCAGAAACAAGACAACAAATTCTAGTATCATTCAGTAAGCACTAAGTTACTATTTCATAAGTAGTCAACATTTTGATAAACAAATGAACGCAAGGAAAAGCATTTATTTCAGAATGTATTCAGAGCACGGCACTATCAGTAACTCTGGCCATTAGTTGAGTACGCATACTAATACCTTTCTGGATTTACACAGCACTCTCCTGTGACCTTCTTACTACACTCTCGTGTGTTTGGTCAACATTTGCAAACACATTTTGAACCAGCAGGCACGTGGTTTCCTGAGGTACTCGCTCCAGCTTGTTGTTCCCACCTTCAGTGCCCTTTGTTACTCCCCCCTCCTCTTCTGTGTCACTAAGCCACTGCCACTCTCAGTGGCTACAGAACAAGTCCATAGCAAGTCCTGTGCTTTCTGTAAGCCCACAGAAAGTTCTAGGTTGTCCATTTCCTTCGTTCTCAAAACCCTGCACTGGCTTCCCATGGCCATCACAATAAAAGCCTTAAGATGACCTGTGAAATCCAGCAGGCTCTGCGTCCCCAACCCCACCACCTCTTAGAACAGTCTCCCATCCCGCATTTCCCCTTGCTGTTCCCAGAACACACCTTAGGGCCATAAGGCCCCCATCTCCTTCTCCCAATGCTCTTCCCCTAGGATAGCCATGCTCCAGACTTTCCTTCCAGCCTCAACTTCATGTTGGCCATCTCATAGAAAAGATGATCCCCATAAAGTAGGATTTTCCACCATCCCCCACCCACCTTACCTCACCAAATTGTCCTTCTGAGCTCTTATCACCCACTGATATGCCTTTGTGTGTTTAATGGCATCTCCTCCAATAGATCTCCCCCACCGAAACACAAGGTACCAAGAGTAGGATCTGTGCTTTGCTATCCTTTGATAAAGATACCACCACCTATCCTCCAGGGTTAATGTAGGGTCTGGCACTCAGTTGTAAACATAGCAGTTGGTAAGCATCTGTATTGAACAAATAAAAGGCATTTGTCTTAAATGTAAATTGCAGCCCCACACAGTTAAATAAAGCCAACACCTTTTGAGAGCTTTTGCGTCTTCTCTAAACCCTGGGGAAGGGGGCAGAGTCTGGGCTGGGGAAGACAACATGGAAGAAGCACAGAAAAGGATTAATAAAGCACCTTTTCAGAAGTCCCCATCCTTTCTCCCCTCCCCACACACTCTTAAACAATAGAAAAGAATTGAAGATTGTACAGAACAAAGCTAAGAATGCTGCAGAAAACAGAGAACCTATCACAGAGTCCAAGCAGGAAGATTTAGAAAGACAAAGCCGTACCCGGGAGCAGGAAAAGCAAAGATCACAGCTCCCAAATCAGAAGCAGGGCCAAATGGCAACCCAAAGTCAGTGACACAGGTAAGTGTGAGAAATGAGGTGAGTATGAGAAAGATGGTCCAGCCCAGGGATGGTGGAAGCAGTGATGTTGATGCCACCACTGACACTGGAGGCCAGGAGAAGGGCGAAGTAAACAAGAGAGCCATCAACATTGACACAGCACTTTACAGTTCAGAAAGCATCAACACCACATGGCTGTATTGAGTTACAGAAAAAGACAGTGAGACTGGCTGCACAGTTTTACAGGTAAGGAAACTGAGGCTCAGAAAAGTCCAGTGATTTCTCGTCTGAGATCACACAGCAAGCAAGGAGAGGTGGAACTTCAGTGTCTTAGGGGTCTGAGGACTCTCAGCTCTTTAACCCTTTAACCCAGATAAACTCCATTCTTGAGTCCCCTTCTCAACGTGATTACTAGGACTCACTTCAGCCACATTACACTAACAACTATTTATTCAAAAGCAGGATGTCCCTCCTGCATTCCTCCAGGAATTTATTCCAAGACCTCTTGACTTGAAAGAAGTTTGGTCTTCTCTAAGCCTTCTTCAGGTGCTTGAAAGCTTAAGAGACCAGAGAAGTCAAACCCAGACTTCTAAGACCATTGTCTCAGGCTCCACAAAACCACAGCCAAGAGTAACAACTATAGAAGAACTGAACAAAACTGCTACTAGAAGCATTTCTCTGTGAAAATGCACCATCTGCAAAAACTTGCAGAGGGCCCAGATTTTCCAGTAAGTCCTTCAAAATACCCCTACCATAGCTCTCATAGAAACCCAGTGTCTGAAAATCCAGAATAGTTCCTCAGATTTATTAGAACTGAATTCTTTCCTTGAACACATATCGCATGCTATTAAAAAAGAAAAATCGCCAACATCCATAAACCCATGAAG